CCCCAATGTAAGACGTGCAGGGGGTCTGGTTTCGCGTGTGTTTTTTTCAACAAGGAAACCACTAAAGCGTATAATCGTATTTGGTTATTTAATTCCGAATGGATGAAAGAGAGACAGATGCAACCAAAATGTATCACTCGAGCTGAATTTTTGAGTGATTTCCACCAATTCTTGGCTTGAACAGGTTAAAGGCAGTAATATAATTTTAAAGCTAGATCTGAAAAGTATTATATAGTTGGGCAGAGATGAGGTCAGCCGGAATTTTAAGAAACCGGCGGCACACCCCTGTAAAGAATCCTTGAGAAGTCTCCACCCTCCAACCCCTCTTCGCCCCACTCACAGTGTTTTTTTTAGACAACTGGAATTTCTCAGCTTTGTCGGAAGATTACTCGGGTTGAGTGAAAAGAAAAACCGATCAGAAATGATTAAGATCTGTTTATTAATCGCTTGCCTTTTTCTTTCAAGATTATTCAAATTCATTTGTACAGTTCATCAAAACGCTTCATTATAGTGTTCCTATTATGGCTAAAAAAGCTATCAAAACACATGTCGTTTTATTACGGAAACTAGTTATCAGAAGCCGCCAGAAAGAATGGATCGGATGTTTTAAAAGCAATTTCTTGTACATTCTTGTATATTTTAATGGCCTCTTTCAGCGAGATTTCGAGGGTTCATCAAAATTTTATAAACATGAGAACGTGTATTACGCTTCATTTTCGACCAAACTTTCGTAGAATTCACCTATATAAACGAGCACTTTTAAAAAACTTGCCGGTTTGATGCAAACACCCTTAAAATTAAGAAAAGAAGGCCGGAAGGAGTTACTTCTAGTCCTCCAAACAAGCTTTGTTTTTGTAAAATGTTTACTTAAATTCATGTGATTTTTGTACCATGAATTCCTGATAATTCTAAAGTCGGAGAGCAATTCGCGAAATGAGCAGGACCCCTATGGCCCGCAAAGATCTGACACAAGTCTTTTTTGAAACTTCAAGACTGCTCTAGAATGAACGAAAAATAAATCAGGTTTTTGTTTTTGTTGTTGTATTTGCTTTCAAATGTTTTGTATAAATTCCCTAAGAAACTTCAATGATCCAATTTTTAGCAGAAGAAAGGATTTTTACCAAACGAATGACTAAGTCAAAGGGGCTGTGATAATTTTGGGCATGTGGATGGCTGTGTTTGCATCGACCTATTTTATTTTTCCTAAGTAAATCGTTTCTTGAATTTTATATTTCATGAACTAGCCATATAGGGTGTGTGCTTGCCCGAAAGGGCTTAGTTTTGGCCAGTTTTTGTCTGAGAACGGGTAAATGCATAGATCATCGTGGCTTCGAAACGGTACAGTCTCCAAGAGTGTGTCTAAACATCTTTATCTTCGGAAATCCAAATGAATCAGAGAGAGACAAAATAAAAATATATTATTCAAACTGAATTTTTGGGTGGTCATGACCAATTCGTGGCTTGAGCAGGTGAAAAAAGGCGATGGATTTTAGAGACGAGTTCTGAAAACGGGTGTGGAAAATAAGATGTTCTAGAGGGGTCAAGATTTTGAGAAATTAGCCGCAACTATTGCCAAAAATTCCAAAGAGAACCCATTCCACTCTCCTCCACCCAAACAGGTTTCACAGACGTCTAGCGGCTTTCCTTTGGCTATAGATTTGTCTAGTTAAGAAATTATTAAGGGTTCTTCATAAATCATAAACTTTTTTTTTTAATTTTTTTTGTTTCATTTTAACATCAAATTAATTTAGTAGTACAGCTCATCAAAATGATTCATTACAGTGTTTCTATTATGGCTACAAAGCTTTCAAATCAATATTCTTGCTTTATTACGGTAAAAAGTCATCAGAAGCTTCTAGAAAAAGTCGATCGGATGTTGTAAACATTAATTCATTTTCTCGTATTTTCTCGTCTTTTCTCGTCTTTTAGTGAGAATTCAAAACCCAATGAACGTTTGAGAGTTCATTACTTATACTGAACACTAATGAAATAAAAACTTGCCGGTTTGTTTCGAAATCTCTGGAAAGCCAAAAAATAAAAGGCTTGAAATAATTACTTTCAATCCTCAAAGGAGACATTGTTTTCATAACATGCTCACCTAGTTTCATTTCCTTTATCTACCATGAAATCCAGAAATTCGCTATTGTTTTCAGTCATCATAGCGCTGGACGAAAAACTTAAAGCTACAGAGCTGAAAATTGACATGCTCGTTTGATGTGGTAGGTAATTTTTTTGTCAGCCAACTATTTCCATGTAGGATTTTGAAAAGTGACTAATGAGGCTCGAAGTTGAAGTCGATAAGTTTTTGATATGTTCGATATGATACCTGGCTATGTTCGGGAAATAAGCCAGACAAGCTCCGCGGAATTCGAGCCTTAGTTTATTAAAACATGAAAAGTATTTGAAAGTGATCGCATGGTAAATTATCATTATTTTTTATTATTGTTGGATTTGCTTGGAGAATTTTCTTAGAAGTTCTTAAGCTAGCTTTTTTTTATTCTTCAAAAAAAAAAATTTAATGAACAATTTTGTTTTAAACTTTCCTCAGATGTTCCTTTCTAATGTCTGTGTCGAAAAATACTACAAAAAGGATGCTGTGGAGAATTATTCACACTCTAGAATCTAAATCAAAGGAAGGGGGGGGGCCGAGATGATAGTTCTGTATTTTGAGCGCCTTTGAAAAAGAAGCCAATCACGATACGAGAAAACCGACGACCAAAACTTCCCAATTTGCACTTCGATCTTATTCCCATCAAAACTAAGTGGGGGTGAGGTCATGTCTCGTTTAGAGGAAGGGTGTTACCTACAGCATGACTAGAATCCAAAGAGAAACTGAACCGAAAATTTTCTTTAAATGTTCCAAGAAATTGACTACAGAAGCCGCCGTTTTGAACTTTGTAACCTAGTTGTAATCACGTTAAGCATTCCAGAAATTATTGAAAAAAATTGCCGCTCTATACAGTGCAGAACATTATCTGCTGAGTTAAGAATGCCATTTTGTGTAGCATGTAATTGTTCAAAATGATGGCTAGGAATTTAAAAAGAGGATCGAAAGTGTGTTATGTCATAGGTGAGTGGCCAGATTGTTCGGCAATATTAAAAATGGCGGCTTCTGTTCTCGACTTTTTTTACATTTGAAGACTATTCTCAACAGATTAGTTTAATCTTTGGATGTTCAATACGCAGTTTGAAGTAATTTAATAATAATAATAATAATAATTTATTTACTTATAAATTTGTTTTATTGTTGTTATTATTATATTCGCAGATCAGTTACGGAGTTTCCAGCTCACTTCTCAACGACAGGTCAATCTTCAGAACGCTTTTCCGCACGTCTTTTTCTGATAAACAAGTTGCGGCGGTGTTGACGAGTCTTATAACTTCTTTCGGATGGTCTTGTATAAATATCATAAGTTCGAAAGAACGTTTTCACCGTGGAATAATGGGAAACCTAAAACGGGACCTTAAAAAACGCGACATCTGCATTGCCTTACATGAAGCCGTCGGTAGTGGTGAAATTTCGAGTATTGTAATGGCAATCAAAGTTCGTAGGAGTGTTTTCGTAAACGTTGTTTTAGGAAGCGAGGATTTTATTTCCAAGATTTTCAGCGAAGCACGGAGAAAAAATTTGACAAAAAGAGTGTGGATTAGAGCTGACATGTCAAACGAGCGATCCCGATTGGTTGAAAGCTACGGTGACGTCATGGACGGAATGCTGACCGTGTCTGTGCCCAAAGAAGACTTGGGCAAGTTTAAAAATGTCGTCAGCATATTGGCGAAAAACGTTTCAGAAATGTATTGCACTTGGATTGAAAAAGACAGCCGCTGGTCCGCTGTCTGTAGAAATCGTAGCAGTGAGCAATCGGTCGGCTTGCAGGGTGTGTCATTGGACAAAACTGCTTACGTCATGAATGCAGTTCTTGCAGTCACGCAGACAGTGAAGAAAGTTACCCAGTGTACTAGGAATAGTGTGCAAAGCAGTTTTAACTGCTTGAGGGGGAATTTTACGCTGCAGTATGCGCGGGAACTTGTTTTGAAGAACTTAGAGAAGATTACTTTTAGAAATAGTCAAAATACTAATATATCCTTCACCTCTAACCGAGAATTGAATAAAGAATTTGATATCATGAACGTGCATGCCATCTGCAATAAAACCATAGCGACTACCCGAGTAGGAAAATGGACCAGAGAGCAGAGACTGGTAATAAATGAGACTGACATTCAATGGCCTGGTAAAGAATACAGAGTCCCTTATTCTGGATGCCGGGAGCGCTGCCCCTTGGGTACCTATACCAAATATGGTTGGGAGACATGCTGGTGGAACTGTCATAAGTGTCCTAAGGGGACCTTTAATGATAACCACACCGCGACCCTTTGTAAAGTTTGCCCGAAGCACCAAATGCCAAATGAGCTTCAGACTGGTTGTGTAGACAAACCTCTCGCAGTGTTAGTCTTCGGAGAAATGCTAACAGTTACTCTACTCTCCGCGTGTGGACTGGGAGAGATTCTTACATTGCTTGTGTTGGGTGTTCTGGTGAGATATCAGGACACCCCTGTTGTCAAGGCAACGAATTTAACTTTTACGGTCTTGTCCTTGTTAGTGCTTGCTGTTTGGTTCCTGAATCCGGTTCTCTACATCGGTAAGCCATCTGACAGTGTTTGCAAATTGAGAACCGTGTCGTTCGCAGTTTTGTACACCACTATCACTGCGGTTTTATTGACCAAGACGAACCGTTTGATTAAGATTTTTTCTGCTCTCAAGCAGCATTGTTTCCTCAGCAACTGCTGGTACGGTTTCTTGACATGCGCACTGATTCTTGTGCAGATTGGTTTGAGCGTGTTTCACCTTCTGGTTTTCCCGCCAAGAGTGACTTATGATTACAGCGTCGCGGGCGCTTTGTTTATGTCATGTGAGCACAATTTGGCTGTTGATTTGGCTTCGTTAGGTTATGACTCATTTCTCGCGATGATATGCTCGTATCTTGCCTACAAATCGCGTAATCTGCCGAGAGCTTATAACGAATTTAAATGGATATGTCTCAGCATGTTTACAAACTTTTTATCGTGGACTGCTATTTTAATTTGCCATCACACGTCGTTTCATGGAAGGGAGAGCTACATCTGCGCAATAATGGCGCTAATTTTGGGAGCATATTCAATGCTTTTCCTTCTGTTTCTTCCAAAAGTTCGTGTAATTTTTTTCCGGCCGGAAAAGAACACGAAGCAGGCAGCGATAGAAAGCACAAGGCGTTACTCAATTGACCAGGCTTCTGGGATTGATCTATCGCCGATTCAGGGAATGACGCTGAGACGGAACACATCGCCAGCGTGTCTAGCGTTTCAGTTTATGAATGGATCTATGAACAAGCTACCAGTTGTGAAACAAAACTTGGGACCGAGGCGCTCTCAAGGGTCAATTATTGCGACCATAAAAGAGTTGCCCGAGGAGAGAAAATCAAGCGTCTAAAATTCTGTATCGTTGTCCCAACAATTTTTGCATGGAAAGAGCAAACGTACGTAGAAGGAGGTGTTTGTGTATGCACGTCCGCGAAGGAGGGTCGGAATGGCCTGTTTTTTCCCGATCTTGTTAAAAGAATCTAAAGAGCCGCGTCATAGTTTTTCAATGGTGATTCTATATTGATCCTACGTTAAAGTTATTATAGGTCCGTCATTTTTAATCCGTGTTATACCACGGTGTAACTTCTCCCAACAGTATTGGTTCATTGTTAACCAACAAGTCGATGAGAAGAAATAGAAACATCAACTGAGTATCACTGTTCTATTAAACAACAAATTCTCAAAGCAAAGGTGTAAGAAATGTAGGAAAGACATTGAGGAGAATTGATATTGAGATCTAGGGAGTAAAAAGCTTAACATTAATCCTTAGGCATTCCTTTTTGGATTGCATTTTGTACTTTAGCGAGCCACCGTAGGACATATAGTGATATTGTCTTCCCTTTCGTTACCTTTTCGCTTGCAAGTTCGTCGAACTGTGATTGGGAAAAATTCCTTTCCCATCACTTCTGAAATTAAAGGCCACTTTAAGTACCACTTAAAATAAGTAAAAGTAAACAAACATCGAGGGAAAACCACTGCTTTTGGAAAATTATCTTAGCCTGCTGCCTTCTTCACAGTTTCAAAAGAGAAAATACTTCCACGTATTCAAACACTTCTCTCGACTTTTTTTTTTTTCGACTAAAGCTAAATTAATGCAATGTGTTTTAGTGAAAAATGACATCATGTCATCATCATGGATTACAATCTTTAAGTCCTTTCTCTTTTCCCTTTTCCCCTGTTTTCACCCCGCGAGGGGATGAACCCCAAATTGCCTCGTGATTTCTCCCAGTCTCACTTGGCTTTTCGCACTTAGACCAACCCTTTAATTTTGACGACGAGAAGTCACATGTTCCCCCCACCGCCCTATTGCCAGGAAAGCATCGACCGATTTTTTAATGTTCACATGAAGAATCCAGGGAAAAGTCCTCTCCACATTCGATCTGAATTCTGTTTATTTTGTGTTGCTCAATTTAGGCATTTTTAAACTTCCTTTTTGATAACCAAATTAAATTTAGAACTTAAAATGTTTTTGTTGTCTCGTATGATTTTCAGAACGCATTGGTGATGAATAAACTTGTCTTCTCTCAGAGCTTAGATATAAACCTCGCGAGTTTGCATGCCAATTAAAAAGGCATTAATAAGTAATGAGTTCTGAAAACAATCTTAAAAAGGTAGAAAATTTCAAGTTATCAAACACGTTCCAACATTCTTTAGTCGTTAATGTTTGGATTTCAGTTTCAAACCTGTCAAAAGTATTTAGGTAATTCTACCTAAAATCTCTCACGTATCATGAAAGTTTATTTTTCAATATGTAGAAAAAAATTCTAATTAGACGACGAACATTCACTACAGGAGATAGGATGTCGAAAAGTGCCCTGAGGACACATCTGGAATGTCGGAACTTGTTTTATCTTCAGATAGAAGTTGTTATCTTAATCTAGCAAAAGATTCTCGTAGCTGATTCACAGGGAATTCAGTGAAGCAGCTAACCGGGAGGATTAACAGTCAGATCTTGGGAGTTGAAGGGTTAATAAATTATTGCTAACAGTTTTAATGAGCCTTTGTTGGAACGGAAAATGTACCCACGGTCACTACTGACATTCGGCGAAGATTCCGGGCAGCGAACGATCCACTGCGCGCGCGCATTGTGTAATCAAACATACTGGCCCGTACAAGTTCGGTTTTGTTTTTCTCGGGTTGGAAAAAAATGATCCGCAACCGGACGGAGAACGTGCAAAAGAGGATCGCGAAACCTGTGGAAATAAGTGCGAAACAAAACACAACATTTTTGTTTTCTGCACTGCTGTCGAAGTAACAGGGTACAAAGACTATCCATATCACACATACTGTGAACATTGTAAATCCTATCAATCGTGTTTCGTTGAAATTCGCCGGCAAATTACGAGCTCTGTACGCCAGATACGTCGACGGTATAGCCAGAACAGCGGTGTAACCCAATACGATCATGAGCAGTTTGCGCGCCATTTCGCCGCAGTCAACACAGATGCGTGTGTCATAATAGTACACAGTAACTTCCGGCGGAAATGACCACACCCATGGTATGATGCCGAGCATTATTGGCAAAGTCAGGAGAACGGCAAACAGGAGCTGCAAGCGAATGCCATATCCGAATTTACCAGGGAGCATTTTGTTTTTGAATATGAGTAACAAACGCCGGGTTTTTGTCAACATTAGCGAGGCCCAGAAGTTGATAACAAATGCAAAGCAGAACGGGCGCGCTTTGCAAATGACGTCGGTGGCTCTTCCTACATGTAGCAGAGGAAGAAGAAAAATGCCTGCTATCATGAGTAAAATCAACTGGGAGTATTCTCTTGTGGAAGCTTTTACGATCGCGCTGTTTCGATATCGATGGAACACGCCAAGAGTGAAAATCGTACTCAAAAACCCGAGGCCACTGAGAGCTAAAATAACACTTCCAGTCGTTGAATGCCATTCCAAGTACACTTCCGGCAGTTGCAAACATCTTGTGTGATTTTCAGAAGAAGTGAAACCCAACGGGCAAATGTTGCATTGTGATTGACCCTCTCTGTTCGTTATGCTTCCAAACGGGCACTGAACGCACTTCCAGCAGCATATGGAGTCGCCTTGGACTTTGTAGTGCCCAGGCTCACACGTTGAACTGCAGCGTGAGAAAGGCACTCTGGGATTCCATCCGTTCCACGTGATGTTTGTGATATTATGAAAATGGAGTTTGCGAGTGGCCCATTCCCAAGTTCCTAGCGTGATAAACTTTTTTCCCTGCGCGGAGTCTGGATCAGGCTGTAAACTCTTGACCAAATAGTTACCTGTTAAAATATATCAAAAATATCACCAACTCAATAAGCTCATGATTGTTAAACAAATTTTCCTTGTCAGGACCTTTGGAGATGTATAGAGAACAGTATGGAGAATATGCATACTGATGTTAGGGTAAAACTACTCAATTTGATAACAGCTTATGATCGAACAGATTACAACGAGCAAATACAGGAATTCTGAAAATGAACGGGCTGTAAGGAAGCAATTAAACGAAAGTAGTTTGCTAGAAGTGCAATTAAGGTGACAACTGTAGTAGTTTACCTATAACTTTGACGACTTAAAATCCAATTAGTGGCTAGATATTGTAGCTGAGTTTGATTCAAGTCCGAAATTAAATCGTAGCTTCATTGTTTTTTCCCAAAAAATAGGAAGCTGTATAACAGGACATTTATTAAAGTAAAAGACGCCCTCAAAGTTCACTTTTTCTCATTTTGTATTGTTTTGATTACCCCTTACCTCGCTGACACCTTGTCTTTCTGTCAAACCTGACAAAAATACTAAAAGAACATGGCTGTTGTTGTCTCGATAAAACTGAGTAAACAAAGGCCTTTTGACGGAACATTAAGATTATTAAAATTTGACACTGATTTTAAAAACGGCTCCAGGTGAGTTTGGACACAAGAGGATTTTATTGAATAATGTCATTTTGACCTTTGAATAGTTTGACTAGCATCTCATTTGATCTTTGAATTGGGAGAGATTTTCTGAGTTTATTGTAGGTTAAAAAGCCGCGAAAAATGAAAAAAATTGCACAAATACTGGTCAGCCATTTGAGATGACGAGTTTCATAGCATGCGCAATTTATTTAAATTGAGGGGTAGTTCCTTTTTTTCCTTTTCTATAGCTCATGCTGAGCTTTTGTGATCGTAAAATGTCCTTGATACACAAGGTATCAAGCAAGCTTAAATACGTGAAATTATCATTGTTCGTTCTGCTTGTTTTCATTAGATACCACGGCACCAAATCATGTTCATATGGTAATATATCACAGGGTTTGAAACCGATAAAATCCTCTTCTTGCCTGAAGAAAAAAAAAAGCCCGCAAAAATCCGCATGTCACCTGTTAAGGTAGAATTTCTGAGGTCGCTTTTGGAAACCCTTTGTTTATTAAATATACGAATAAATTTTGTAATATGATACGAACAAAATTCGAAATAGGAAAAGTCACTTTGATCGAGTTTACGCATAAAATTTTTTGTAAATCAATCAACGTATTCAAATTTAGATTCGTCTTAAGTTCGCAGCCTCACTCATTTCCTAAATTTTACAATTGTTTAAAAATTAGATTAGGATTGATTCCTTTCAGATGAATTTTTATCCTTCAGAGACAATGTTTTTGTTAATACTCGCCTATTGAATATTTAAACAGCGGTCGCGTTAAAAGTTTCCAGTTTAGCTCATTTTGACATGTTTGTTTGCGTTGTGATAAATTCTCATAATGTCCGACAAGCACAAGTAGCGCTGAAATCTCCATTCAATAGTTTCAAAGATAAATTAATTTGTGCCGAACGATGTTAACGAGCGAAAGGCCTCTTATTGTTTCTCAAGTATTTAAAACATGTTAATGTCTATTGACAGAGAAATGACTTACCTTTTATGTCCCCATATTTGTCAAATACGATTGGAAAACCGAGCTTTCCGGTAAAGGATATATTTTTTATATAAGTGAGGACGTCCGATGCTTCAACTCCATTTGTTATACTGGGACAGCTACCATTTGTTAAGAGGCCGTGTCCTTTTTTGCACCTAATTATCTTATCGAGAGCTAAAGCGACAGAATAAACTGCATCCATGACATTTGCGGCCTTGTTTAGTTCTAGCTTCGCTGCAGTTGGCAGCTCTTTGCCATTCGAAAATTCATCGCATTTCACTCGGTGAAGCGAGCTGTTTTGCTGGTCCTCTTCCGAAGTATTAAAACCATCTTTCAAATGTGCAATTCTTTCTTTTCGACATCTGTACGTTCCGTGCCAATAATCTCTAAACCAAGGATTGTGTTCGGTATTAGCAGGTGTCAACTGCGCCATATGCTCCTCAAATCTCATAATATTTCCTTTGCTCGGTACAACTCCTAACATTCCACCAACTAATGAATCCCTGAACGATAAAATGGAGTTTTTGTCTCCCCAAGAATCCGTTCCTATCCAAATTTTTCCTTCCATACCTTGCCTTTCCGCTTCTTCCAAAAGGGCAAGCGCGTTTGGAATCTCGCAAAAAAGCACAACAACTTTGGCGAGTTTGTCCGCTTTTAAGGCGCTAACGATTGACGACATCTGGGCTTTTGTGTCGGGTAAGGTGTAGTCGGGATGGAATAATTCGTCGATAGAAATACACACATTCCTCGTCTTTATTTCTCGTTTAAAGGCTTCGATTCCTAATCTTCCGTAATCT